AGAAAAAAGGGAAGCAAAGAAAATTTAGATTATACAATCTGAAAACTCAATTGATGATGACAAGAAAGTAACCAATTGCTGTTCAGATTCTAGGGTCAGATGATTATGTTTAAAATATGGTGACAAGGCTAAATAACTGAAAACAGAGGTGTTTGTAATTTGACATGAAATTGTTAAAGAAAGTCATCATTATTTTTTGGACGTACGTTTGCTACTTGCCTTTGCACATTATCAAGTTTGAGTTTCTTGACCAATATAGATGTTATCCAGCAAATACAGGCAACTGATGGCTTACTGTCTGCAACACGTTACTGAAGACATTTTGGCTACTATGTTTCAAATGGCTTTATTTTCATGCTACTAACTTAGGATCTAGTTGAACCTGGTCTTTCAGTTATAACTGTTGATTTCTCATGTTTACACGTATGGGACATTAATTTACCTTAGACGAATACCTACACTAGATTCCCACCCAGTGTCTATTCTACAGAACTTCAACACAACTCAGATCAAGAACAAATGGTTAGCCTGACTAGAAAGTAAATATATTTCCACACCAAAATCCGACACAATCTAAGAACAATGAACAATCAATAATAATAATAATAATAATAGAGGGGAATATATAACTTATCTGACACCTGTCAGACTATTTACATGTCTGACTAAGCAAACAGCTAATCATTATCATTCTCACCCACACATCACCTCGCGAAGTTTGATCGTATGACTTCCGCTCCCTGGATGATCTTCTGATAGCTTCTGATTTCAACTCATTTTTTCTCGTTTCAAATTGTAGTGGTGGTGGGATATTAAATGTATCACATAATACTTCCATTGATAATGGTTTGGTTTTAGATGACTCGTGAACATTTTTTCTATCTCGCAGTTGATTGATGTGTCTAATAATTATAGTATATTTTTCAACCATCACTTCATACTATGTCGTTCTACATCTTTTTTTATACATCCAAATATCCATTTCGGCTTGCCAGACCGGAAATCACGTGCATAGACTAAGTCACCTGATTTGAATTCTCAAATTTTCGGACAATTCCCTTTATTATTTCATTGTAGTCCACTCATTCTGTCTTTCGGTTTAAAAACATTAGAAAATGTCCTAATTGGTCGGCCAAATATTATTTCGTCTAGTGATTTAATCATACTGCAAACAGTGCTCAACGGTCCTATAAACCAAATTTATCTACCTAATCAATATCTAATAAGTTGGTATGACAGTTTCCAAATACATAGCATTTTCCGATTATAGACTTGTCACCCAATATGAGAGATAGCTGCATTTCCCCAAAAAGTTATTTTAGTTCCTGTCGAACTCTTAGCGTTATAATATGTAGGTCAATATTGAAGTCGACCGTGTTTTATCCAAGTCTCCCCAGAAATTAATGTCATGTCAGATCCTGTATCAATTTGCAACTTAACTGACTAACCACTAAAAAAGATAGTTACGTACTTCCTTGTAGACGATAATTGAGCACTTTCCGTGGCTGGAACAACATTTTAATTATATGAGATCTCTTTAATGTCTGCGTCTTATTCCCTTTGCGAAACTTATGTTCATGATCGGCAGTCTTTTGCCTACTTTTACAACATACTTGAGCATGACCATATTTGCCTCAAAGGAAACAAGCATTTTTAAAATAGCAAACATTACCAGAATAACGCTTACCGCATCACCAACAACACGTTTTGGGTTTCGTTTGGTTTGGGATTAGCTGGGAGTACGGATCCTTATTTCCATTAAAGGATTTCCGTAAAGCTTTAACTTCCATATATTCACTGTTCCTTTCTACTAGATTCGTTTCATGCTTCAAATTAATCATTCCTTGACATTCTTCAGATACCGATTGTAGACTAATATTAGGGTCTTGTTCGAACCTCGATAAAATCTGTGTTCTGATATCTGCGTCTACTGCAAATTGTAACCCACAGACAAAGATAAGGCATTTAAACTGATTTGAGGATATGTCCTGTAAACGGAACTGCTCACATTCCCGGTTCACGATGCTTGCATACGTCACATAATCGTCCTGTGGTTTTCTTACAAGCTGGAGACACTGAAATCTAGTGTGAAATATTGATGATTGTTCATTAAATATACGTGTCAGGCACTACTGTTTCTCTGAAGGTTATGTCAGTTGGGTTCTTCGGGAGGATAAAATTATAGAACTTTTCATGTTCAGACGCTCCGAGGTTTCGAACTTTCGTCCCTCTCTTTACCATCATTAATAAACAAAGTCTCATGGCCTTTAAACCATGCCTCAAGTGTAAACCCACATTCTGGATGAAATCTAAATTCATTTATTGAATTCGCAATAGAATCCGGGGTCATACGCTCTTGGGGATATTGACATACATTTGACCAATAATTCGATAAGAGAATTTTTCTATTGTAATAAAGTTTTCAGATAATCCATTTTACTGTTACAAAATCCACTTTAACTGAAAATAACAATGAGAAGATGGAGGTTTATCTGAAAAATGTGATGTATTAACGCTATACATTTCGAACAATCTGGTCACACATATACTTGTCAGGGCATTTTTATATGAAAATTAATAAAGGTCAAACAAATAAAAGTACAATTAAAATAACTAAGGGGAGAGAAAGAATAAGAAATTGTCGCGTTACAAGTTGATGGTGTAGCTATGGGTAGCTCTTTGGGGCCTCTCTTAGCTGAGGTATTCATTTCATATGTTGAAAATATGAAAAGCGACATTATTAGTGAGACAACTCTATATAGAAGATATATGGACGATATCCTAATTATATGTGATAAAGATTTTGATGTTTACCGATTATTGGATAAACTCAATGGTGTTCAAAACGATATTGTGATGACACATGAATCAGAAAGTAATGGCCAATTATCCTTTCTAGATATACTTTTAAGTCGCAGGGATGATGGCACTATTAGACGGTCAGTGTATAGGAAACCAACTTGGACGGGACAATACTTAAATTTCCATAGTTTCTGTCTCTTGCAATACAAGAGAGGTTTGGTTAAGTGCCTCTTTAAGAGGACTCGAAGAATATGTACCTCTGACATGGTGGAAAAAGATGAAAAGTTACTGACTGACACATTAATAGCAAATGGTTATCCACTCAAGTTTATTAATAGGTGCAAAAGTTAGTTAATGCCAAGACCTTTAATTTATTCATTGCTAAAGAAAAAAAGTTTATATCAATCTATCATAGAGAGGCGAATCTAACGGTATAGTCTTAAGGCAGAGATTGAAAGCAGCCATCGAGAATACGTATTTTGCTGCTCAGTTGGTAGTGATTGAAAAGTCTAAGGCCATGATTCCTAATAGACCCAAACAATGCATTAATGATTACGTCACATCCCGTTGTATTTACCAATTTACATGTTTGTGTGGACACACATACATAAGGAGGAGTAATCGAACAATGCGATCAAGGGTCAATGAACATGTGCCTAGATGGCTTCAAAATCAATGTGAGTCAAATGATCCGATCAATATAGGAGGTAGAAAAACCAAGCTCATCGATAGCAAAACATATAACCGAGATGGGGCACAAAATTGACATTAATACAGCATTTATAATGTTGTACAGAAATTGTCAAGGTCGAATTCTTAAGTTTATTGAAGCCTTGGCTATTCGTAAATTTAAACCCCCCTTATGTGTACAAAAACAATTTGTCGTAACCTTGAATTTACCTTGGTAATCCTTAAGTCATTCTATGGCTTAGGATAACGTGACAATTTCTTATTCTTTCTCTCCCCTTAGTTATTTTAATTGTACTTTTATTCGTTTGACCTTTATTAATTTTCACATAAAAATGCCCTGACAAGTATGTGTGTGACCAGATTGTTCGAAATGTATAGCGCAAATACATCACATTTTTCAGATAAACCTCCATCTTCTCATTGTTTTATCGGGATTTTTCTTTATCTCAACAGAATGATTAAAATTGTTTACGTTTAATTTCGTCAAGGCCTTCAAATAACATATTTAACAGACAATGTTGTTCAAACAGTAACAACTTTTTATCTTGGTATTATTATCATGTCTACATGAACATCACATGTGACAGACGTAGCTCGTATCTCTCCTTCTATCTTAAATGTTATTTGCTTGGATCACCCAACGTATCATTTGCTTTGCCATATGTGTGTTCGAATTCAGTCATTTGATCCTACTCTTAATTCACCTCTGAGTTTACTCTCTCAAGTCAACTTTTGTGCTCTAATTCGCTTGGTATGCTTAAGGCTTGGTGATCTGTGCTATTCAATAATAAACTTTAGTCAACGCCTTCGTATTACCTTCTGAATTTATACACCGTTTGGATTTATTCAATGACGGTTATTGAGGAATTATCTCGAAGGCAATTCAATACGAGGACTAGAATTAGTCATTGACACACCTTATATTATTCCATAGATTTTGCTAGGGGTTAGGTCTGTAGATTACACAGCTAACATAACAAGAACTTATAAAATGACTGAATGTAGCTGGCTATATGCAGTTATCTCCTGGACTGTGATAACATTCCCATGCCTTCAAGATTATTACTGATTCGGTTCCCTTTCCCTGTCCCTTAAGAAGAAATACCCTTTAATGATACGGATAGCAAAGAAGTAGCAATCACCCCTATATCTTTATCAGTACTCAAGATCACTATGCTCTACTCATCCCAGCATTTAAGGTATATCTTCGCTCTTAATTAGTAGGAAAACTGGACTGAATCTCACTCTAGTAATTTCGTAGTAAATATTAAAAAAGCGATGATCACTAACATTTCAATTTACGTTGTGTTACAGCGTTTATTACCTCTAGAAAGTTTAATGATACTAGATAAATTTATTTGTTAGATTTTGTGTAAGGCAAATGAAAAAATTTCACTAATATTTAAAAATTCTTGATTTATATCTTCTATCTGCTGGAATTTATCCAGATATCATTAATAATTCATGCATGAATGTTTATTTCATTTGATTATACTTTAATACTTCTACTTCTTTATATGGATTAAACGCTGTAATATCTCTGAAACCTACCACGTACTTTCCGCAACCGTAATATATATATATATATATAAGAATTAATTGAACACTGATCATTCATAAGTATTTGTATTGCAGGGAGTTTGTTCTGCGATTGTGGTTTTTATTGTTGTCATTTGAGTATCAGTTAATCGGATTTCTCATATCCACAACTACATGCTCACATTCACATATATTTACAGGTGCACGCTAGTACACATACATATATAAATTTATAAACGAAGTAAACAGTTGTACATATCACGATAACTTTTTTAAACAGAAAATACAACTGTAAAGAAAATAATGAAGAGAGAAAACAGTAGGTTCTTCTAAATAAATGCAATTCACGCAAGTACTCATAAAGCGTCTATATATATATTCCTCTTTTTCAGAACATCAATATACATGAAAAGTATGAAACTAATCAACCATAATGGTGAATAAGTATATGGATTTATTGGCTTTAGTAATCAAATGTAAAGTTCAATAAACACCTTCAACAAATTGATATTTGTTTAACTCTGTAGATCATGATAGATTCAATTATTTACCTAATTTTTCTTTAAAAACTAATTTTATTTGTCCATATGATGTTACGGAAAAATGTTATAATTGTAATTTCATTTTTTATTTAATTTCACTGCAGACAGGTCCTTGCCATACACCTCCATCACCGTCAGCTATTGTCATATAACTTGTATGTTGTCCTTTTGGTTTATCAATTGATTTATGCATTTTTAATTGATTATTTATGTTTTCTTCATTATCAAAATCCATATGATCATTTTTAGTCTTATTATTATTATTATTATTGTTATTATTATTATTATTATTATTATTATTATTATTATTATTATTATTATTATTGTATGTGTAACGTGATATGAATTTTGATTGAGTTTGTTGTCTAGTAGTTAATAATGATGAATTTTGAGAACAGAATTTATTATTACATTGAAAAATAGCTTTAAATTCTTGTCGAAAATTATTATTTAACCATGCATATATAAAAGGATTATAAACAGCTGAACTCATTGCAATCATATGACATAATATAAATGTATGATGAAAATAAACTGAACCTTCAGCTTTTTCACCAATTATATCTACAACTATCCATAGAACATTTAATGGTATCCAACAGACAACAAATATAATAACCATAGCTATTAACATTTGATTTGTACGACGATTACGTTTTATTTCAAGTTCTTCTTTTTCACGACTTTTACGTCCACTACCAATTTTTGTTGAACCTCTTGAACGGAGTACACAACTTACTCGATAATAACATATTGATATAATCAAACAGGGTGCAACAAATTGAAGAACAAATGTAATGACTGTATATATCTAAAATGTTACAAAAAAATGGAAAGATTTAGATTAGATTATGTTGTATTGTCAGCTTATATATATATATATATATATATATATATATATATATATATATATATATATATATATATATATATATATATATATATATATATATATATATATACTGATTGCAGTTAAGCATATAAACCATGGAGTGGTGGATCGATAGTATACAACGTTTTGGCCGAATGAAAGACCAGGAGGCCCTGGGTTCAGTTCCTGGGGGGGGGTTCATGAGCACGTACAGTTGAGGAGACCCATATAAGGTCGAAAAGCTGTCCAGTGCTTCTTAGTTTTTATTAGATTTCGAAGGTCAGTCCATGATGAAAATTAAAGCGCTCACCAATTTCCACAAGCTCCCCATACTGATTATATATATATATTCTCTAGTCAAAGCCGCAATCGATTTATAAAACCTGGATTATATACACATAAATCTCTGGCTGTATAACAACCAATTTAATTTTAAGCTATCTTATGTTTACTGAGAGAATTTTGCAACACCAACCTTTTATGCTCCCAATATACACATATGATAATTGTATCCACAGGCTGAAAGAATGTATCATTTGTAATTGTAAAGTTAATCATTTTTATAATAGTTTAGATTCAGATACCAGATGTCGTATGTTAATAATAACCATTGACAGAGTAACTCTGGATTTTGTAACACTATCAAGAACACTTTAAAATATTCAGTGTTAAAGATAGTGTATTATTGTTATTATTATAAACAGAATCCAGTCAAAACTGTACTGTCTAGTTATTTAATAACTGGAAATGATATTCTGTTTGAATTCCTATCATTAACCATATTATAATAGTATAGGTAAGTTTATATGACAATTCTGATATCACTTCTTTTTTAATGATAATTATCTAAATAAATTAAAGGATACTATTATGTAATCGTATGATTTAATTCCTTAAAGTCATATTTACTCTTCTATCCTATTAATAACCGATTTTTATGCAAGCACTTTTTTTTAAAAAAAGTAAATTGTGTTTTCTTCATCTAACCGATTACTTTAAACACAAATGAAAATATATGAATTACATGTGTGATTATGGTTTAATTGTCTTATACAATGTTATGTATATATATACAAACAATGTTTGATTTGTGTACATGCACATCTTTATGTTAGCTACTTATGTAAATCCTTTTCTTTTTAGGTGTATACTTCTCACTGATTCAATACAGAATAAGAATTTTTCAATTTAATACAAATTAATAATAATAATAATATTAACTTTTGTTTTTGTATAGTTTTTTGTCGCCTTCTATTTAATTTGGCGACATACTTAAATTTTATTAGAACCAAAAGAAACCCCCCAAAAAACCAAACGAAAAGAATTAAGGTAGATGATGATGATGATGAAAAACTTGTGTAGGGGTTATGTTATTGTTTATATTCATTTGTGTGTGTATGTTGTATAGGTACCCGTAGGGTGTACGTGGGGAGATGTAAACAACTGTGTCATTTTAATTAAGAAATGTAATAATAAATAATGTTAGGAATTTCTTTCATTCGTTTAATTATGAAAAAAAAACAAATTTTATTATTCGGTTCTGTTTAGTGTTTATTTATTGTTCTTCTTAATATGAAATAGTTTTTTTCTTTACAAACCGAATTCAAGACAGACAGTTTATTATAGTAGGAAAAGAATTATTTTAATGGATAAAAGATTGTTATTGATTGATTCAGATGAGACAGATTTTATTGATTAGAAATAGTGGTGAAAATATCAATAAAGACATAGAAATTATTATTAATATTATGATTATATAAATTCACAAATAAAAAGTTATGATGAATAAGCAATTGAATAGTCAAATAATCTAATTGAGAGTTCTATAAGTTTTAAAGTAAAACATATCAGATTCAAGCTTTAATAATGATACTGGGAAGTATCAGGTTGTAGATTTATCCAGCTGATAAGCTTTGAATAGGATGACATGTTTTAGAGGATGATAGTTGTTTACTTCAAAGCTTTCTTTTTTGAAAATGATCTTTTATTTTTAATAGTTGTGCGGATTGCTGAATTTTGTTGAGATCAAAGTTAGATAACCATTGAGGACATGAAAACACTTGATGGTCGTATTGTTCCAACGGTGCGCATCTACGAACCGCAACCACGGAAACCATGAACAATGGAATTCAACTGTAGTGGATGTAATAAAGGTATCCGTCGAAGACAACAGAACATGGTCGCATAATATCGTGAGCTGATCAAGATTAGAACTATATTTTATCAGATGTAGCCCTGTGGTCTAGAGATCTAACGTTTGAGGACATGAAGTGTGGCCCCGGGTTTCAGCCCCAATTGAGAGGTTGTGGATGTGCCTTTCTGAGCAGTCTCACGTTAAGATGAAATGACTGTCCAGGTCTTGTTTTTGAGGCATTTCTTTGAAAATGTCCAAAATCTGTCAAAAGAATTTTTTTGTGACTTTATATTAAGCTATTAATGCAAAACATGGGACGGGTTCTGTGAATTCATTAGTTACATAATGCAATCGATTTAGAGTTTATTTTGACTCTTAGTTAATAAATAAGTTTTATTTATGTTGCACCTGTGGGGATCAGTAGGTTTGTATTTATGAATCACATTCAGTAAAGATGAATTACCGATTTTTTCTAAAATGAAACTTTATTCAACGGTACAGTACGTCTGACTTCAGTGGATCATCTTGTATGTTGTCTGATCTTGTTTCTTTCTCTTTTTTTTGATTTTTCTGATAGTCTTTCTGTTGTTTCAGGTTACTTATTAACTTACTATCGTAGTATCAGCTTTTGTTTCTCCTCGTAGTAAGAATGTAATTCAGTAACGAGCAGTCATATCATTACTTTGAACGTTTTTCCTCATTGATCAAATTTGTTAAGGAATACTTTTTGAAACTTTTAAGAAGTATGGCTCATATCTTAATTCAGACGCAGAAAACTATGCGTACAGAACTATGTTTTGTGCCGTTTAATAAATATTGTAATTATGATCATAGAAAATAAGGAAAGAATTTATGACACTAACATGGTTTAAGTATTATTTCTTATAGTTTAGTCATGAATAAAATCCCGGTGAATTTTCTAGTCTAACATCTGAACAACATCAGGGTAGTTCTATCGATTCTAGTCATGACAGTTAGACGTCGGATTTTGGGGAAAAGTAAAAGGCCTGCTTTTTAATAGGAAGCATAAAAATTCTATCACAACATTGAGTTAACTAAACTTGAGAAACAAGATTTGTTTCTAGAAAATGTCTATCTGATGTACATATATTTATATTATAATAATAATCAATCATGCCTATCTTTGAGATTGTTGGTATGTGCAAAAGTTTACAAACCTTTAGTAATCAGCAGATATTTTGGAAAACGGTGAGCCTTAATTTCCCATAATATTTAAGTATTTCGACGATACTAATTACTTTTCTCTACAAACTGCATAAATTACAGTACTTTGTCAAGTTGATTACGACATAATTTGTTGACGTGATCTGTCGGCAGCCTGTTCAAAATTCTGGGGAAACTGTTTTCAAACTGTGAATATTGTAATTCACTTAATTATTTCTTGAATTTATTTTAACTGATCAGTTGTTTGTATTTTTACGCTTCTTCAGAAAACTTATAACCAGATGGAATGGAAATTACTATAAGATCCAAAAAAAACTTCCAGAGTAGTTTAATTATTTTTCTTCCTATCCGAGGTTTCGAGGAACTAGGATTGACTGTAATTAACAACCTCGGACCAGATGTATTGTATGACCAAAAAAAATATCATAGAAGTAAATCTAGTACAAAACATTTAATAATGAATACGAATGACAGGTGATTACTGTTAAAAAAGCATTACCAGACATATTCTTTGGATATTTTTAAAAGAGTATTTCATGAAATATAATACATTTTCTAATGAGAATTATTTACTATAATCAAACATTTGAAATCGATTATTATGATTAGTGGTATTAGTTTTTATTATTAGTTAAAGTAAACACAATATCCATTAATTTGTTGTCGATAGATATTTAAGAATCAGATAGATTATCAATGAGAGATAAAACTGGTAACAATGGTAACGTTATTTTCAATGTTAAATAATAATCATCTGTTTAGTATACTAGTTTTTTAAAAAAAAATTCATATGCGTCTGTTATTCCGTCGAAACAAATACAAATGATACTAAATGTTTGTTATTTATTTATATTTATAACTAAAATGTAATTGAAGTAAATTTCAACAAGTTAGTGTTTCTATTGGTTACGGGATATTCGATTTTTTCTTTTTTTTTTTTAACAAAACACCATAGTATTATAAAAGTTAACTTGTACACAGCAACATTTTGATCTCAATTAGTTTTGTATGTGTATATCGATTTTCAATACTGACATGTAAATAGGAAGAGAATAGATAAATAAATTTATTGTTTACTAATCACACTTTTCCATTTACTGAAATCTTATTTTCTTTTCCTTCTATAGTATTATAATCATTGGAACTAATATTTTGAAATGAAATCGAGATTACACTATGATAATGAAGTAAAATGATAATTTTTTACTGACATACAAGATTACTGACGTTAAATATCCAGTTAAATTACAGTCACATTAATAGGATACACAGGGAGTTAAAATATTTCACCATTGACTAAGAATGAAAGTGTCAACATTAAATATTGATTAATTATATTAATTATTGTGACTTTATGTCAAGCTTCTTGTTATGTGATTTATCCACCGATCAAAATACGACTTATACAATCTTAGCACTGTGCCAAACCAATGACGTTCGACCGGTATGAGAAACCTAGCTTCCTTATTGGTCCTATGTCCTCCTAGCACGTTCACTTGAGTCCAGAACAATAATACCAGCTTCGAATATGCGAATTGAATCATTTATTTCAGACATACTGGGTTTATATATCAATCAAACAGACCGCAACGCACCAGCCAAAATGTGGCTGTGAACGTGG